GTTTCATGCCATCTATGAATTTGATGAGTAGATCTGCTCTGTTCTCATCTACATGACTAATAAAAATATTGATCAGGACAAAGTCTACTGGCAGTCCACTAGAAATCTCCTTCTAGCTTGGTAATGACCCACAATCTTTGGGATCAGTTTTACTTATTTAAGATCTACCCAAATTCTACTCTTATCTAATTTACTATTCCTCATCATTTCCAAAGGTGAGGGACATTTTCACACTTTGCTGATATCCAAATATACCATGTCTACCACATTTCTCTGGTCTGTCACTCCAAAGTGAGCCTGAACAACTCCTCTGGTACTTAAAGGATATTGAACTATATTACCTTTTCTTCCCAATTATATAGTAAGACTCTGCTGGGCAAAGACTATACCCTATATTTCCTTGAAAACTCCATAGCAATTCATTCAATTCCATTCATTCAACAAATATTTATTGACTCCCTACTATGTGCCAGGTACTATTCTGGGCTATCCTTCCTTAGTGTAAAGTGATACTTAAGTATTCATAGCAGTATTCCCTCAACGTCCAACCCTGGACAAACAGCTACCTGCCATGTCTGGTGCCACACTGTCCTTCTTATTACCCATCCCACCCAAAGCTTGAAAAACTTTGTCGCTGTCCCTTATCCAAATCACTAGATACACTTTTATAAGATTTTGAGAATGACTAAACTACCATACCATCATTGTCTTTTCTAGAAATAATCTCTCTTTCCACTGGGTTCTCACAGTATCTTATTTATAACATTCTTATGGTACTTAGTATACTCTACTTTGTATTGTACTTATCCATCTGCATATCTTACCTTGTCCCCTAGATCATAAGTTCCCTGAGAGCAGGAACCATGGCTTATTCAGTTCTGTAGACCCAGCAAATTTTTACCATGTTTGGCACCTGGAGATGCTGAGTGAATAACCAATAAAGAGAACAGCAGCTCCTTAAGGCGGCAGTTGTCAGGCTTACCTGCACCTCTACCAACCAGTCCACAAGAATGGCCCTCATGTCACTGCTGATGTCAGTCTGCCTGTTCATGTATTTTTTAAGTATGAATTTTTCCTGGCAGTAATAAGAAATAAACATTAACAAACAAACTCTTCTTGTAGTTCAAAAATTGTAACTTAGGAAAAAAATATTTGCAAGTAATCTCTCAGAAAAAAAAAGTAACCACATAATTAACTTCTTCATGGTTCTAACTCATTATTTTCAGATAATGGTATCAGATGGGGGCAGATCAAAGTATCCTTATCCTTTTCCAGACAAGTTCCAGTTATTCTTGGGAAAGGGACACACACGATATTCAAGTGTCAGGGTGGATGTTGAGGAGTCCATGGGGAATATGGAATATAGGAAGGAACACACCTATGACTACAGACGAATATGAAAGAAGTTCTGCCCCTTCTTTACAATTCAATCTAAAGCACAATACCATGCTATGTAGAGCAGTGCTTCTCAAACTTGAACATGCATATGTGCTACTTGGGGATCTTTAAAATTCACATTCTAATTGAGAAGGTCTGGGGCGGGGCCAGGTTTCTGCATTTCTAACAAGATCCCAAGTGAAACTGATACTGCTGAGCTAAGGCCCGCACTTTTAGTACAGCAAAGTTCTGTCTTACTTCCTCCAAGGTATACTAGAGAAAGTGTGGGCCCTGGAGTCAGCTAATCAAATTCTATGTCTCTAGAGAGAAGACAAGATATTTATCCTCCCTTTTACGCATGGCCTGCTAAAATTCTAGTTGTTAAGATTATCTTGGTCCCACCTGTTCTGTTGAGACAGACAGAAAATTTGGAATGATGAATATTAGTGGTAAAGGAGACTAGCAGATTTCAAAGGAGGAAGAAAATTTCACCAGGTTGAAGAGCTGAAACAAAGGGTGTGATTTTACCTATGGTACCAGAAACTTACGTAGAGAAGGGAAAAGATCTCTAAGAGCAGCCACTCAGAAAGAGACTACTTGATCATTTTTATGTCCGAGACCGTCTCCATGGCAATTAGAGGTGCAGCAACCTTATGATCTTCAAGATAATGGGACTGTAGTCCATATCTCAGCTCTACCACACACTAGTTATGGGACTCTGAGCAGTTTCCTCCAACTATTCAAAGGAGATAATAATACCTACCACCATGAAGTTATTGGGAGAATTAAACAAGATAATGTCTCTAAATCCCTTAGCACAATGTCTAACTCATAGTAAGCTCCCAGTAGATGTCAGTCATTGCTATTATTATTTTTATCATATTACCTCCCCTTTCAACTTGCATTTGTAGGATGGAGTACAAAGAAATGAGAACTAGAAATCATTGCCGCCCCCCCCCACCAGCCACCTACATACCTCTCTCTCCTTCATGTAATTGAAGATATCATTGGCATATATTGAGTTGAAAAATGGATCATTGTGGTCCTTGTCAATATCCTCCAGTGGGATTATCTGCTTGGAAATCACCAAAAAGACATATTAGGAGGAGAAAGATTCCAAGGAAAGCTTAGCTCATAGACATAAAGAATGATTCCTTTCTTCCCACTGTAATCTTCTGCTAAGGTTTCTCAAGCTTCATATATCCTAGGCCATAACAGAGCAGGCCTTGGCTCTGCAGTCCTCATATTGCCGAGTGACCAAGAAATGCTTAGTCCTCCTTGTATATGCCTGGTCTGCCCTAGGAACCAGGTACCATTTTTACAGGTAAGCTAAAGACTCTCCAAGAAAGACACTCTTATTTTACTATTTCAGCATGTCACCTGTCTTCTTTGGTTCCTTGTTCTGTCCCAATGCTTTGATCTGGCCCAATTCATCTTCTTGGTAGCCTTTTCCTCCCTTCTACCCCTTTACTCAGGTTGTTTTGCCTACAAGAGGGGTATTGCTCTTCCCTCTTGCCAAATCTCATCCCTTCGTCCTTCCAATTTACAACTTAAAGACCATCTTCCTTGGGAGATGTCTCTCATAACTCATCTTTGACTGAAGCCCACTGTAATGTAGATTGCAATTAATAAGAAAGGCAATTTCCTGAAAGAAATTGTCTAACCACTACTGCAAAGCCCAAATATATATATACGTTGTGGGTATTCCTGGAATAAATACTTTCTAATTGCTTGGGTGTATCACTATGCTGATCAGGAATTCAAGAGATTCTACAAGGCCAGGGGCCACCCCAGGCATAGTGGTTAAGTTTGGCCCGCTTTTCTTCGGAGGCCCAGGTTCACAGGTTTGGTTCCTGGCACGGACCTACACCACTCTTCAGCCATGCTGAGGCAGCGACCCATATACAAAATTGAGGAAGACGGACACAGATATTAGCTCAGGGCTAATCTTCCTCAAGCAAAAAAGGAGGAAGATTGGCAACAGATGTTAGCTCAGGGCAACTCTTCCTCACAACCAATCAATCAATCAATCAATAGATTCTACAAGGCCAGTTTGGTTTACTATAGCTTACTACGTATAGCTCAATTGCTTAGGAAGGCAAAACAAATCTCTTTGCTAGCAGCTACCTCCAGGACAACAAATAACACGTCATCTAATTTAAGAAAAACGAAAGCAGAATACCTCCTTCTGTGATCTCTTGCCCTGAGACGAGAAAGGTTTATTGGAACTGGATTCACAAGCACTGGACTTGCTTGTGGTACTTAACTTGCCCACACTGGACATAGCGGCAGTGCTGGACATGCCTGTTCTGGATTCAGGGGCAGTGCTGGACACATGTGGGCTGGTCTCAACTTGAAGGATCAAGAAATCTTTGAGAAAGGTATCTTCCTTGTGGGTGGGATTCTCTGGCAAGGCCAATGGCTCTTTGAAAGACAACTCCTTCCCAGGGGTGGATTTCTCATTCAAGGCAAATATCTCCTTGAAATTTAATGCCTCATTGATGGTAGGCATCTCCTGAAAGGCTAATGGCTCCTTGAAAAGGGCCTCCATCTCACTACTGGGCTTCTCCTGCAAGGCCAAGGGTTCCTTCAGGATAGCCTCCTCCTCAATTATGGGATTTTCCTGCAAGCCCCAGGGCTCCTTCAGGATAGCCCCCTCCTCAATTGTGGGATTCTCCTGCAAGGCCAAGGACACCCTCAGGATGGTCTCCTTTTCAATACGAGGCTTCTCGTGCCAGGCCAGTGGCTGTTTAATAAGGGACTCCTCTTCATTGGTGTTCTCTTGCAAGGCCAACTGCTTATCAAAGAGGAACACCTCCCCCTGAGCAGTGGGCTTCTTTAAAGATAATTCTCTCTCTATGCTTGTTGTTGTCTCAGTGGGGAGGTCCTTCAGAATCAATGGTTTCTTGAAAAGGGATTCCTCTTCAGTGGTGCATTCCTCCTCCAAAGCCAACAGGTTCTTCAATGAGTCCTCTTTAGTATCAGTCTTATTCTGCAAGGCCAAAGCCTTCCAGAAGAGGGGCTCATCATTGTTGGTAGGTTTAATATGCAATGAAAATGACTCCCGGAAGAGGAATTCCTCCTTGGTGGTAGGCTTCTCCTCCAAGGTCAATGGTTCCCTAATACATGATTCTTTTTCAGTGGTGGTCTTCTCCTGCAAGGCCAATGGCTTCTTTGAGAGCGATACCCCCTGGAGAGTAGCATGCTTCTCTTTCACTACAGATGGATCCTGGAAGAGGAATTCCTGTTCAGTTGTAGGCTTTTTCTTAAAGGGCAACAGCTTCTTAAAGAGTGACTCCTCTTCAGAGGTGGTCTTCTTTAAGACCAGTGGCTCCTTTAAAAGGAACATCTTCTCCTGACTGATTTGCTTCTTCTTTAAAGATAACGGTGTCTTGGTAAGGATTGACTCCTCAGTTGAAGACTTCTTCCTAAATGACATGGCCTCCATAAAGAAAGAATCCTTATTTTTGCCAATCATATTCTGTAAGTCCAACAGTTCTTGGCAGATGAACATCATTGTTTGAGTGGTGCACTTTTTCTTCTTCAAAGATAACAGTTCCTTGGTAGAGATTGCCTCATTTGTGGTATGTTTCTTCCTAAAGGAAATTGGCTCCATAAGAAATTCATCTTTACTGTCAATATTCTCCTGCAATGTCCATGGCTTCTTCAAGAGGGCCACCTCTCCTTGAGTGGTGTGCTTCTCTTGCAATGCAGATGATTCCCTGAAGAGGGACTCCTCCTCAGTGGTAGGCTTCTTTTTAAAGGACAGTGGCTCCTTAATGAGTGACTCCTCCCCAGAGGTGGTCTTATGCAATACTAGTGGCTTCTTCAAGCAGTACATTTTCCCCTGAATGGAACACTTCTTCTTCTTTAAAGGTAATGGCTTTTTGGTGGGGGTTGTCTCCTTGGTAGTATGCTTCTTTCTAAGGGAAACTGGCTCCATAAGAAATTCATCTTCACTGTCTTTTTTCTCCTGCAATGCCAATGGCTTCTTCAAGAGGGCCACCTCCCCATCAGTGGTGTGTTTCTCTTGCAACACAAATGGCTCCTGGAAGAGGGACTCCTCTTTAGTGGTAGGCTTCTTTTTAAAAGACAATGGCTCCTTAATGAGTGCTTTCTCTCCAGAGGTGGTCTTCTGCAATACTAATGGCTTCTTCAAGCGGGCCATCTTCCCCTGAGTAGAGCACTTCTTCTTTAAAGATAATAGCCTCATGGTGACGGTTGCCTCCTCAGTGGTAGGTTTCTTCTTAAAAGTCAATGGCTCCTTAAAGAGGAACTCTTCTTCAGTGTCGATCTTCTCCTGCAAGCCCAAAGATTTCTTCAAGATGGACATTTCTTGCTCAATGGTGTGCTTCTCTTGCAATGCAAATGGCTCCTGGAAAAGGGGTTCCTTCTTAGTGGTAGGCTTTCTCTTCAGAGACAACAGCTCCTTAATGAGTGACTTCTCTTCAGAGGTGGTCTTCTGCAATACTAGTGGTTTCTTCATATGGGACATTTTCCCCCAAGTGGTACACTTCTTTAAAGATAACAGCTTCTTGGTAGAGGTTGCCTCCTCCATTTTTGGCTTCTTCCTAAAGTTCCCTGGCTCCATAAAGGAATCCTCTTCAACGCTGATGTCCTGCAAGACCAACTCCTCCCCCTGATATGCGCACATCTTCTTTAAGGATAATGTCCTTTTGGTGATGGCTGCATCCTCAGTTTTATGCTTCTTCCCAAAAGTCATTGGCTCTACAACAAACTCATCATTACTGTCAGTCTCCTCCTGCAAGGGTAGTGGCTTCTCTAAAAGAGACACCTCCTTCTGATTTGTGCACTTCTTTAAAGATAATGATCTCTTGATGAGAGTTGTGTCCTCAGTGGTAGATTCCTCTTTTAAAACTAATGGCTTCTTGAAAAGAGATGCCTCCTCAGTAGTGGGTGTTTTGGAGATGGTAGATATTTCCTGAAAGAGCTGTTTCTCTGTGATGTCTGGTACCAAGGTAGTAGAGACTACTAGTGGTGAGGGTTCTAGCTTATACCTGTAAAGGAAACAATTTCTGAGTAAGAAGAATGTAGTTTTGGAATCCTCACCTATCATCTCATTTTGTTGCTATATTTACCAAAGGCATGGAAGGAAAAGGGGCTTCAACCCCAAGAGACAGATTAGAGGGTAAAAATCAACGGGTACCATACTGAATCAACTAAGTAGCACACTATATAGTTTCTATGGCCTAGGTCCCAATACTTTTCTGAAAAATTTCCCCTGAAATTCATGATATGCTTTCTCATTTATGATTTATTACCTTTATCTATTTACAAAGGCTTTTATTATAATACTTACCACATTGTATGAGTTATCTGCTTATATATCAGTCTCCCTCACTAGATGCATTTATTCATCTTTGTCTATCAGCACCAGGCATCAGGTAAAATGCAGGTTGAAATTAATATTGTTTTAAGGTTTATGAGAGAGGATTATAAGACAGAGGCTTATAAATGCTTATAAGAGAAAGGTGATCTAGTACTTAATATTGGTGGTATCTAACCACATTCCCTTTACCCTATGCTATTCATGAGATACTTTCCCAGTGGAGGTAATAAAAAGACCAAAATAGACATTTGTTCACGTGTCAGATGCAAGCTTTGTTCTGAGTAAGATTTCATGTCCAATTAGAGTGATTAACCTAGTGTGACCAAATCACTGGAAAACTAGAAATCAGAATGAGAGAGAGGATTGAAGGCAAATACCATCATCAGTCTGAACAAGAGTAAGTGCCTCCAAAAGACTGGATATCATATGATTCCATTTATATGAAACATCCAGAATAGACATACCCATAGAGGTTCATCCATAACAGAAAGTACGTTGGTGGTTGCCTGGGGCTTGGAAGGGGCAGGGAGGGGGTAGAAGAGGGGACTGGGAAAGGGAAGGGACTGCTAATGGGTACAAGTTTCTTTGGGGAGTATCTAATCTAAAATTACTGAGTGGTGATGGCTGTACAATTCTATGAATATAATTTTAAAATCCACTGAAGAGTAAAAAAGAAAAAAAGAAGTGCCTCAAAAGATTCCACCTGACCAGAGAGGTTACAGGTCCCTCCTGATGAGAACTTTTAGATGGTCTAGTTATGATAAAGATAGTCTAGTTATGATAAATAGCATGCATTCTGGAACTAGACTACCTGGATTCAAATCCTGGCTCTCCCATTTACTGGCTGGGTGACCTTGGGCAAGTTAACTCTGTGCTTTACTTTTTCACCTATAAAATGGGGATCATAATATTACCTCCTCTATGGGCTTGTTGTGAAGATTCAGTTCATTAATATGCATGAAAACACTTAAAACAAAGAATTGTTAGACACAATTGCTGTCAATAAATCAGATGATTTAAATGAAATGGAAAAATTCCTAGGAAGACACAAACTACCAAAACTGACTCAAAAAGAAAATAGAAAATCTGAATAGACCTGTAACAAGTAAAGACATTGAATTAATAATCAAAAACTACCCACAAAGAAACGTCTAGGCCCAGATGGCTTCACTGGTGAATTCTACCAAACATTTAAAGAAGAATTAATACTAGTTCTTCATGAACTCTCCCGAGAAATAGAAGAGGTAAGAACAGTTCCCAACTCATTCTATGAGACCTATATTACTCTGATACAAAAAAAGACTAATACTGGCCTCAAAGACATCACGAGAAAACCATAGTCTGATATCTCTTATGAATATAGATGCAAAAATTCTCCGGAAAGTACTAGCAAACCAAATCCAGCAACATATAAAAGGATTATACAGGGGCCAGTCTCTTGGTGCAGAGGTTAAGTTCACGTGCTCTGCTTCGGCAGCCCAGGGTTCATGGGTTTGGATCTCGGGTGCAGACCTACACACTGCTCATCAAGCCACGGTGTGGTGGCATCCCACATACAAAATAGAGGAAGACTGGCACAGCTGTTAGCTCAGCAACAATCTTCCTCAAGCAAAAAGAGGAAGATTGGCAACAGATGTTAGCTCAGGGCCAGTCTACCTCACCAAAAAAAAAAAAGGGATTACATGCCATGACCAAGCGGGATTTATCCCAGAAATGCATCTGAAATGTATCACACCATACATTAGTGTATTAATGTATTCCATTAGGAATTTAAAAAAAGCCACATGATCATCTCAATAGATCCAGAAAAATCATTTGACAAAATCCAACACTCTTTCATGATAAAAGCACTCAATAAACTAGAAATAGAAAGGAGATTTCTGAACTTGATAAAGGGCATCATTGAAAAAATCAAAGCTAGCATCATACTTAATGGTGAAAGACTGATGCTGTTCCCCTAAGATCAGGGAGAAGACAAGGACATCCAACTCTTATTCTGAGGGGCAGGGGATTTGTCATGTAGCAGTAGGTAACTGATATAGCATCGCTGATGCTTTAGGACTGAACCGCTCTGTTCTTTGAATAAAGTCCAAACTCTTTGCCATGATTCACAAGGTCCTGATGATCTGGCTCCTGCCTGCCTTTGCAAATCCATCTCTTAAGAAACACTGGAGTGATGGAGGTTAACTAGATTTATTGTGGTGACCATTTTGCAATATATACAAATATCAAATCATTATGTCGTACATTTGAAGCTAATATAATGTTGTATGTCAATTATACCTCAAAAAAACAAAAAAGAAACATTGGTATAGGACATAGGTATTGAGCATCTATGATAGCCTAAGACTAGGGTGATCAGAGTAGGCTTCCTTGATAAAGTGACCAACTGTCCTTGTTTGTCTGGGACTGAGAGGGTTCCTGGAATGTAAGACTTTCAGTATTAAAACTGGGTAAGTCCTAGGAAACCAATAAGTTAGTCACCCAATTCTTGAAGGACAAGGATGTCCAACTCTTAACACTTCTATTCAACATAGTACTAGAAGTTCTAGCCAGGGTAATTAGGCAAGAAAATAAAATAAAAGGCATCCAGATTGGAAAGGAAGGAGTAAAACTATCTGTATTGGCACATTCTTATATATAGAAAATCCTAAGGAATTCACACAAAAACTATCAGAACTAATATATAAGTTCAGCAAGGTTCCATGATACAAGATCACTATACAAAAATCATACATATTTCTATATCCTTGCAATGAACAATATGAAAATGAAATTATGAAAACAATTCCATTTACAACAGCATCAAGAAGAATAAAATGCTTAGAAATAAATCTAACAAAAGAAGTGCAAAACATATTCTGAAAACTACAAAAAATGTTGAAAGAAATTAGAGATGTAAACAAATAGAAAGACATCCCATGTTCATGGATTGGAAAACTTAGTATTGTTAAGATGGTAATACTCCCCAAATTGATTTACAGGTTCAAGGCAACTTCTGTAAGAATCCCAGCTGGTTTATTAGTAGAAATGGACAAGCTGACTCTAAAATTTATATGGAATTGCAAGGAACCCAGAACAGCCAAAACAGTCTTGAAAAAGGACAAAGTTGGATGAGTCACACTTCCCAATTTCAAAATGCACTACAGAGCCACAATAATCAGGAAAGTGTGGTACTGGTGTAACGATAGATATGTAGATCAATGGAATAAAATAGAGAGTTCAGAAATAAACATTTACATTTATAGTCAATTGATTTTCAACAAGGGTGCCAAGAGAATTAAGTGGAGAAAGATTAGCCTTTTCAACAAATATTGCTGGGACAACTGGATAGATACATGCAAAACAATGAAGTTACACCCCCTAACACACATTAACAACAAAAATTAACTCGAAATGGATCAAAAACCTAAGTTAAGAGCTAAAACTCTGAAAAGAAAATCTTAAAAGTAAATCCTCATGACCTTGGGTTTGGCAATGGTTTCTTAGATAGACATCAAAAGCGTAAGCGACAAAAGAAAAAATAAATTGGACTTCATCAAAATTAAAAATTTTTGTGCCTCAAAGGACACCAACAAGAAAGTGAAAAGACAACCCACAGAATGGATGAAAATATTTGTAAATCATATATCTGATCAGGGACTTGTATCTAGAATATATAAAGAACTCCTACAAGTCAATAATGAAAAGCTCAATAACTAAATTTTTAAAAAGGACAAAGATCTGAATAGACATTCCTTCAAAGATATGCAAGAGGCCACTAAGCACATGAAAGATGCTCAACATCATTAGTCATCAGAGAAATGCAAATCTAAACCACAGTGAGATAGACTTCACACCCACTAGGATGGCCATAATAAAAAAAGAAAATAGCAAGAGCTGTCAAGGATGTGGAAAATTGGAAACTCTCATACATTGCTGGTAGGAATGTAAAATAGTGCAACCACTGTGGAATACAGTTTGGCAGTTCCTCAATGAGTTCAACATAAAATTACCATATGACCCAGAAATTACATTCCTAGGTATATATGCAAAAGAATTGAAAATAGGTGTTCAAACAAAAACATGTACACAAATGTTCACAGCAGCACTATTCACAATAACCAAAAGGTGGAAACAACCCAAATGCCCATCAACTGATGAATGGATAAACAAAACATGGTATATCCATACAATGGAATACTATTTGGCAATAAAAAGGAATGAAGTATTGACATCTGCTTACAACATAGATGAACCATGAAAACATTATGCTAAGTGAAAGATACATAAGACCACACATTGTATAATTCCATTTATATGAAACGTCCAGAATAGGCAAATCTAGAGAGACAGAAAGCATATTAGTGGTTGCCTAGAAATAAGAGGATGAGGGAATTGAGAGGTGATAGCTAAAGGTACAGGGTTTCTTTCTGGGTTGATGAAGATGTTCTAAAATTGATTTTAGTGATGGCTACGTAACTCTGTGAATACACTAAAAGCCATTGAATTGTACACTTTAAATGGGTGAATTGTATGGCTGTGAATTATATCTCAATAAAGCTGTTACCAAAAAAACCCACTTAGAATAATGTATGATTATAGTGAGCTCTCAATAAATGTTAGCTACTAGTTCTAGTGCTATTATTAGGGTTCATTCTACTGACCCCTGAATGAAGGCAAGAATATTTATGGCATTTTGTGAGGATTTCCCTGCTAAAGTAAAAATGATGACAGAAATTCCAAAGAAAACAATGCATGGAATTAAGGTCAAAATATACATGCAAATCCCAGGAATTCCACTTCAGCAAGAAACAAAGGAGGGTTAAATGCTAATCTTCTGGTTTGATTTCTTTCTGCTGGGTAATTAGCAAAGTGTCTTGTGGATCTGGCATGTAAATTTTCTGGAGTCCCCCAACACTTTTCCCTTACCCTTTGGAACCCATGCTTAGCCCTGTTATCACTGTCTATCCAGTCTTTTCTATTCTTCCCTGAAGAAGTAATTCCCACTGGAATACGAAGAGGATATAAAGGTCTCACTCCACTTTCTAACTCTTCTTCCAGTAAAAGTTTTCCTAGGGGTAAATCCTTTTTCCAATCCTAGATGATAATACTCATACCTACGTGCAGAATCTGTGAAAACTTCCCTGTAACAGCTGGAAAACACATGTTTTTGGCCTAGGGAGATAGTAATTTCTCTCCAGTAACAAGGGACAAACCTCCCCTAAAGTTTCTAATGGGATAAGCAGACTGGCAAGCTATCAACCAGCTGCTGAGAATCCCCCAGAAAAGTTAAGTTGCCCCCACACTCTCAAGCACATATACTTCAAACAGGGACTGAATTACTACTAAACGAAAGAAAAGATGAGCACAAGATCTTTTGGCAAATTCCCCAATGACAACACACACCATAGAAAAAGAGAGAGAGAGAAGAGAACTATAACACTTCAGCAACCACAACTGGGCCCACCTCAGCAACCAGGGTTAATGCAGTAATCACCATTGTGGCTCGCTAAACATGTTCTCAGTGGAGACAAAAGGGGGTCAAAAGGATGTCACACATCCTTTACCATCTAAAAGATAGTACCATGCTCTCCTTTACCATATAAAACAATGCCATCTGAGTCCCCTCTTACTTACCTTTTCATATTCATCTCATTGTTTTTGGCCAACCTAAGAGCAGGTATGTTCTTGTTTATCTTCTTGGAAACATCTTTAACAAACTCCTTTTTGGCTTCCTTCTTGGGCTGGGTAGGTTGACTTTGAGAAGCCTGCAAAAAAATGGGAAGAGAAAGAGGCAAGGAAATGGAGAGAACCACAAATTACCCAATAGGTGGCTCTTATAGGAAAGTCCTGACTCACATCCCCACTCTGGACACCTTGTTTGGGTGTCCCTAGGAACAATAATCAAAACATCTCACAATCAGTATGGCACTGGTGCCGACTAATCACAATAGAAGCTAGCAGTACAGTAGTACTGGTACATATTAGCTGAAGAGCAGCCCTAAGTGTTTCCAAGGAATACGGGATGTAGTTCTGATCTCCATGTTAGGCATACTGGCTGGCAAAATCCCAAAAAGATGTTTTGTTAACATCACACTCCACTTTGACCCCATAAGATGGTCAGAGAGTTTTGAAAAAAGGCAATATAACTGGCTTTGCTGCCTGGGTATACCAAGATCAACTAGCTTTTCAGGGTAGACCTCTAACCTGTGATACATCTACTCCATCTCAGTGAGGGGATATTTATTTAATATGGGGCTCTGGGGAGCTCCACTGCAAACTCTAATCATAACTAATTCTATTAAACAGTAGGAGAGATCATGGGACTATGAATAACGTCAGTAAAAATAAATTTAAAAGTTATGCCTTTAAAATGAAACAAACTCAACCTAATTATACTCCAAATAAATACTATAATCACACTAAAGGAAAAAAGAAAACAGAAGAAAATACAAGACAAGAAACAACCTATCCAAGTAAACACAGTATTAGACTATAATCTCTCAACATATACATCCTCAGTCACGATGGCTTTGTAGAGTGGTGGAGAATATTGAAAATAATCTGGAACTCTTTTTAGTAAGTTTGTTTAGTATGGTGGTATGGACGAAGTAATTTTGAAACATTTTTAGATGTATTACAGTATTGAGTAAATGTGTTGATGTTCTTGGGCACCAGGGTTCTCATCGTAGAAGGAACATACAAACACGGATTGAGGAATGCAAGAAAGAACCCTGTGTATTGGAATGGGAGCTGTGAGAACTCATGATTTCTTAAATAGGTATATTTATCTATACATCTGAGTATATAGGGGTGTGTGTATCTGTGTATACAGATATATGTATACGTATGTTTAAGTACATATATGTGTGTAAGTATATGTGTAGATACATGCAGATATTTCCTAGTTCTGTTTGTTGAAAGGGCAGAAAAAGCAGACACTCCAGTAGCATACCTAGCACTGAGATCTTGGTCTCTAATACCATGCCAGGGCTGAGATAAAATAGATGAACCTAGAACATCCTGTTATGCTAGAAAGAAAATGCTCAAAAAAATTATGAGAGTATGTCACAAGGACATAGTATTCAGATTGAACAGGACCCTACTGGCCAAATCTGGGACAATTTGAGCACCACAATAATTAACTACAATAATGAACAATAAACTACTGAAAAAATAGGAATTCATAAGTCCATACCAATAATAAACAAACAGGGAAGAAGGAAAGGCTCATGCTTGTAGTAGAATGCCAAGGGCAGACTGGTAAATAGGGTGTGAGTGCTAGAGTTGGAAAAATCATCATCAAGATCGGTCTAGGCAAAAATCACCAATGGATGCTAAATCTAGGGGACATTTTGATGAAGAGCAGGGTATTTGCAGGCTCTTAAGAGTGTGTCCCACAGTGGGCCAGCCCCGTGGCGTAGCGGTTAAGTGCACGAGCTCCACTGCTGGCGGCCCAGGTTCGGATCCCAAGCACGCACCAACACACCGCTTGTCAGGCCATGCTGTGGCGGCATCCCACATAAAGTGGAGGAAGATGGGCACGGATGTTAGCTCAGGGCCAGTCTTCCTCAAGAAAAAAAGGGAGGATTGGCAGATGTTAGCTCAGGGCTGATCGTCCTCACAAAAAAAAAAAAAAAGTGTGTGTCACACAGACTGCTTATTAGTTGCAAGAAAAAAAATAAACAATAATTATACAGTGGAGAAACCAGACAACATCTTGACTGGGTGATCAAAATTAACATCACCAATGAGGGACGGATGAACATCGTGTGCCTTCAGATGTGATACTCTAAGAAAGACAGAACATCAGCTACATGGTATTCCAGCCAAGAATGTATAACATCAGTCTAATCACATGGAAATATCAGACAAACACAAAAGGAGGAATGTTCTATCTTTAAAAGGGGGAGTTGGGTGGCACTGTATTCTTCAAAAATGGTAATGTCATAAAAAAACAAAGATGTATGTAAGCAAATGGGATAAAATGTTAACAGGTGAAATCTAGGTAAAGGGTACATGTGTGTTCTTTGTACTATTTTTTATTTTTGCAACTTTCTGTAAATTTGAAATTATTTCCAAATGAAATGTAAAAAAAAATTATGCCTTTGTATCATCAGATCATAATAAGCAGCTACAGTCCAATAGGGTATCGTTTCTTAGGCCCTCAAGTCGTCCACCTCTGCTTTTCAAAGAGTTTGGCACAGTTTTCATTTTTAACTCCAGCTAAAGTTTTACGACTCTCTATGTGTGCAATCGAGATTCAGAATTGGGAAAGAAGTGCATTCTTAGCAGGAGAGAGGTGAAAACCCTAACTCCCAGGGTGAAACTCTCTACTTGCCGTATGTGAAGGTTCAAAGCACTAACGTTTTCAGATCTAAGCTCAAGGGGACCTTTACCTGTACTTCCCCATAATTCTTTCACCAAGAAATAAGAAAATAGAGATGAAAATCCTACTGACACAAAAATCACTTAGGTAAACATGAATATAGACCCTATCTCCTTGTCTACTGGCTTAGGACCAGCTCTTACATATCAAAAGTCCTTCCCATGCTAGAATGATAAAGGAGAGGGAAAGAAACACACTCACAGATTAACTAACTAAAACAGATCAACTCTCTTGGTGGGCCAGGACCTCACTGTGGTGAATATTGAGAAGACAGATAAGGTGACATGGAGACCTAGTAAAACTGACAGGAAGAAGCAAATCATCATATAGGGAATCTCTAAAATTCAGAGAGAAAGGAGCCCTCTACTCTCAAATAGATGAGCTCAGACATCTGCAGAAATGCCAGACCCTAGGAATGGCTTATGTATATTGTAATGATTTTCTCTGGAAAGCACCAAAGACCATTCAAGGTGACCAAAGTGAATCTTCAGAACTTGAATACAAAAGGGAAATGAGCTTTCTGAGATCCTGGAAAGCAAGAGGCAGAGATACTGCTCAGGGATGCCTTGCTTTCCCCAACCCCACCCTGGATGAGGACGTGGCCTAACAGATGTTGAATTCAGTTAAAGAACCAGGAGGGTCCTGGATACCTGCATGTATTTCCTATTAGTTTATTTGTGTTTGTTCTTTATAAACAGTGACACAAACTTTATGAAAAAAAGGGCTGAGACATATCAAGAAAGTTTCTCATATGCTCTGAGACCTGCTTTGTACAGTGTCACCACACTCCAATCAGGGACTTTGGGGGCCAAGGGAAGCTACACTAAGATGGGTTGCATCTGCTCCTGATTTGTGTGGCTACCTCATTTCACTCAAGTTTCTAGATCCATGGTTAAATAAGTCAGGAAATGAAACTAATTTTACAGGTCTGTGTGGAAGGGGTCTCTTTCAACCAATCTATAGTAAATCTGACCTTATGCGGAAAGCTGTAACCTAATCATATATGTTGTAATCTGTACGGGGAAGAGACTGTGTTAGCACAAAGGTGGTCAAATAGCATCTGAAGATCTGAGATCCAAAGGAGAGAACTTTGCCAATGCTTATCCAATCCTGCCCAAGGGGGTAAAATATTATCTAGTAGATACAAGTATTCTGGTAGCCACAGAAGGACATTCTATTATGGAAGGCAAGAATAGTTCACCAGGGTTCTCTGTATCCTAGATGAAACAGACTTCAAAACCAACATTGGGCAAGTCCTCATCTATAAAGTGGAGACAATTACAATATCTACTTCATAGGATTATATGAGGATTAAGCAAATTAATACAGGAAAAAGTGCTTTGAATAGTGCCTGGCACATGGTAAGCACTCAGTAGGCATCACTTATTATTTTCTAAGACCAAAGATTACCTATGGCCCGATTCTATATTCAATTAATAACATTCTAATTATTAATTCTGATTTTTGCTTATACCTTAATAATACCAGAAGGGAGGTCACTTGGAAGTGAACTCAAGAATTCCGGGGCCAGCCCCGTGGCTTAGTGGTTAAGTGCGCGTGCTCCACTACTGGCGGCCCGGGTTTGGATCCCGGGCATGCACCGACGCACCACTTCTCCGGCCATGCTGAGGCCGCGTCCCACGTACAGCAACTAGAAGGATGTGCAACTATGACATACAACTATCTACTGGGGCTTTGGGGAAAAAAAGGAGGAGGATTGGCAATAGATGTTAGCTCAGAGCCGGTCTTCCTCAGCAAAAAGAGGAGGATTAGCACGGATGTTAGCTCAGGGCTGATCTTCTTCACAAAAAAAAAAAAAAAAAGAATTCCGGTCGCAGGACCAGCCCAGTGGCACAAGCGGTTAAGTGCACGTGCTCTGCTTTAGCAGCCCAGGGTTCGTGGGTTCAGATCCTGGGCACGCACTGATGCACCACTGGTCAAGCCATGCTGTGGCGGCATCCCATATAAAAAAAAGCAGAGGAAGATGGGCACGGATGTTAGCTCAGGGCCAATCTTCCTCAGCAAAAAAAGAGGAGGATTGGCATTAGCTGTTAGCTCAGGGCTGATCTTCCTCACAAAAAAAAAAAAAAGAATTCTGGTCAAAATTGAGCTTCTAGATTCCCACAGTTGACGACTAGATCATGGAACTGTGGTCCTCAATGGTTCTGTACATCGGGGCTACTTTTGATCAGAACTATGACTGGGATGCTGCTAAAACTTAATGCCTAGGGGCCAGGGATGCTGGCTGAGGTCAGTCCTACACGACAGAAAAACTGCCCTGCCCAAAATGCCCATAGCGCTTGAATTGATAAACACTGTCCTAGACTACAATGAGTCTATCAAAGTATTTGCCTCCCAAGACCTAGGCAGCCAGCTGAGCCACCTCTGGACTTTATCTAAATGCAAGATCCCATAGTCCTCATATTTATCTACAATTTCATATCTGATAATCACTCTGCTGCTTCCAGAAAACTCTACCAATTAATCCAGATGGTATGTGCCAGCAGAAAAGTGCCTGTAGTTTCTGAAATTGGGTCATTGATTCCAAATAAAATCGGCTGTCAACATTCCAGAGAGGGTCAGGGTCTGGTAAACTGGAACGGTCCTTCAAGGAAGAGGTCATCTAAACCTTATGCAACACCACGGCAGAGGATTGGACTAGCATACTTACATTGGTGAGATCTTCAAAAGCTGATCTCTTTTTGAGTGGTCCCTGAGGTGAAGATGGAGATATCTCTGCTTGGTAATTCTCCCCTCTCTGAAAAAGAAAAAGAGATAAATGAGCATATCCAACTGTGAACAGTCTTTGCAGGGTCTTCGGGTCATCTTTGGGTTTCAGAGGGAAACTCCAGGGCTGGCCCCGTGGCTTAGCGGTTAAGTGCGCGTGCTCCACTACTGGTGGCCCGGGTTCGGATCCCGGGCGCACACCGACACACCGCTTCTCTGGCCATGCTGAGGCCGCGTCCCACATACAGCAACTAGAAGGATGTGCAACTATGACATACAACTATCTACTGGGGCTTTGGGAAAAAAAAAAAAAAAGGAGGAGGATTGGCAATAGATGTTAGCTCAGAGCCGTTCTTCCTCAGCAAAAAGAGGAGGATTAGCATGGATGTTAGCTCAGGGCTGACCTTCCTCATAAAAAAAAAAAAAGAGGGAAACTCCAGAATCTCCAAGCATATAGTGGGGGATGCATATAATAAACCCCAATAAACTACAACAAAAGGAAATTTCAGCACTCACTGCTGCTTACAGAGTCCCTAAAGGAGATAATCATTGATGATGGGGACAAGGCTGTGAATAGACAAGATGACCTTCAGTGCAACTCTCAGAATGAGCAAAATAGCCTGATGAAGCTAATTTTCCCTTATACTCCTCTCATATTTATGGTTATCCTATCTAAGATTAACCATCCCTACCACCCCCCTGCCACTGCTGGTCATTACTTTAATATGGATGCTCGCAGGTAAATTAATTTAAACATTTAACAAATATTTAAGTGTCTCTTATGTTAAGTAGTTGATTTAAGACATTTCCAATAAGGACAATCACACACATCCCTAGATACTGGTCCAAGATCAGCTCTTTACTAGCTGTTGACTTTGGACAAGTCACTTAATCTCTGAGCCTCAATTTTCTTATCAGTAAAACTGAAATGATAACCTACCTTATCTGAGGATCAAATAAGAGTACAAGTAAAAAAAAGTTTGTATAAACTGTAAATGGACAGAAATAGTATTTTACAAGTATATAGTCCAATAGGATTTTAAACTTCACAGGGAAAATTTTGTATTTTAAGAAAGAAGTTTGTTAATCCATATTAATCCCTAATTGTTAGCATATACAAGGGAGGGGCAGGGGAAGGGAGTAGGGGTGAATATTTTGGAGCAAAAGGGGCTTTCTTTCTAGGTATTGTATATCTGTACATGCCTTACTCCACTCCGAAATGAGTAAGACCATCTCTATGGGGTTAGATGATCAGGTAAATCACACTGCAGGGCTCTTCTATTCCCGAACAGTTTTTTATTTGGTAAAAGTTTCCTAAATATCAGATTTCCTTTATGAAATGTGAACAAATCCTGCCCTACCTATATCAGAGGGTTGCTATAATGTGAGGCAGAACATTGGGGCCAGACTATTTATTTGCTCTGTTCTCCATCTATATCATGAAGAGTTAGTACATGACACAGTAAGTGATCAGAAATTTAGAGACTTGGATTCATAATACAATAGACCAATCCAGCATAGTAGAGAAATCCTGAAAGAGCTGAGAAAAATTACTTCTGTTCTCTAAATGATTAAACTAAGAAATAAGTAAACTATTAGTCTTTTATCTAGTTCACGATAAATAATCCTAGTGGAAATAATTAGCAAAAAATATCATTTTCTGAGCCAGCCCTGATGGCCTAGTGGTTAAAGTTCAGCACACTCCGCTCCAGCAGCCCAGATTCGGTTCCTGGCCGCAGACATACACCACTCGTCTGTCAGTAGCCATGCTGTGGCAGCTGCTTACATAGAAGAACTAGAAGCACCTACAACTAGAATATACAACTATGTACTGGGGCTTTGGGGAGGAAAAAGAAAAAGAAGATTGGCAGCAGATGTTAGCTCAGGGCCAATCTTTAAAAAAAAAAAATCTATCTCTATATATATATATCATTTTCTTACAAATTAGCTAAGAAACAAACTGTCAGTTTGTTATCCAATTCCTATTTATATTACTCCTAGAAACAATCAGCCCCAAATAAAATTCACAAGTGAAACTGAACTCAATAAAATTTAGATTTGAAAATGTGCCCCAAGAAAGTTGGATTTGGAAAAATAATGCCACCAAAGAAAACTTACAATGGTAGAACTATAATCAAAAAATTTGATATGGACAAATATCTGATCAATGTATCAAATCTTTCTTGCCAGATTTACATCAAAAAAAATGTTTGGCCCTTCCATGAACATCACTTTAGCAAAACAAAAACAAAAATGATTAGACAATGTTTATGTGTTAAGAGAAAACCAATCAAGGAAATTAAATTGGTCTAATGATGTTTGTTCCATGAAATACTCTCTTAATGACAATTCTTCAGTGTTAGTAAAATTCTGATTAAAATATATATGATGATGAACATAGAACATCCCAGGGTCAGAAGGACAATGTCAAATTATCCACAAGGTCAAAACAGTAGAATCAAAATATACCCATTCTTCAAATTTAATAGCTGTAAAAAGCATGAAAATACATGTATTGACTTAATCTTCATACTCTCCCCAGGATGTACCAAGCAGCCTCCTGGCAAGGTTTTTTGAGCGTCTCAGAGAAAGTAAGAGTAGAGACATGATCATTAACAAGATATGAGTGCTGTTTACTTTTGAAGGTTAGAGGGTGGCCTTCATTTCAGCCATGCATTTATGGGAAAGAAGAGATCACACTTTCTCTCCAAGTTCTAATTTTCTGGTCTTCTGAAACTACAAGAGCTGCCACCCCTTCCCATTTTCTCGGAGTAAACCATGTTCCAAAAGATGTAGGGGTGAATATTGGGACTGAGCAAACACAGGAAGAGGCTACTCAAGACACTCTTGGGAGAGACAACTTGCTCTAACCTTTTCAGATTGGCCATGATCACTGGGCACAATTTTGCTGGACTGAGATTTCTTAGTCTCAGGTTTGGAGCTTCGGGGTGGTAGTGACAGTGGCATCTCTTACAGATTCAGCAGCGTCTATCCAAGGCAGGGCTGCAATCAGAAAGTAACTCTTTAAAACACCATTCACCAGAAACATCACAGAATTCTCTGGAAATTCTTCAGAAAACCCAGTCTCTCTATAGCATCCCTAGGAGAAAACAGACTTTGAGTTAGGCAGATCTGGGTTCAAACCTTGGTTCTACCACACTTAATCTTGGGCAAGTGACTTGAAGTCCTTGGGTTTCAGTTATCTCATCTGTAAAATGGAGATAAGTATACCTACCTCTGAAAGGGCACTGTTCAAATTAAATGAGATACTCTATGTAAAAAGCCCAGTATAGTGCCTGCCATCCTTTGTGGGCACTGGGACTGCAGCCTAGCCCCTACTTTAGGCCTAGGAACATCGAAGACAAATTACATGAGAGTTTAGCATTGAAAACAATCAAGAACAGGACAGATCATATAGTATGGAGGCTAGCTGGTAGGGTTAATGTTCTTTAAAAGGCATGGGGTCCTGGCCACAGCAATTATAATGATGCTACAGAGATGACAAAAGAATGCACTGCACACACACGTACGCATGATATGCCAAAGAGTATTCAAAGCATTTAGTCAGAAGAAACTGTAATCCAGTTCCAGACACCTGCTAGGAAAAAAAAAAATCAAAAGCTGAGATAATAGCAGAAGGAACTAATTTATTGAAAACACTTGACATAAAAATTTAACAGTTATTATAGCCCTTGGGAAAGTCCTACCTTCACACCATCTCAGTGTGGGACCTCATTTTATATTCCTTAAGGTTCTTTTAGTTTGTGAGTCCTCAATAGTTAGGATACACTTATGTGTCTTACAAGCAAACACATTATTAGGAGGTTATTTGGATACACAAGAGACCCTGCCCACTTATATACAACTGCCCTTCCAGCTACACCCACATTCAGTCTCCAAGTTAACTGCATTTGACAAAAAAACAGGTTTCCCCAAGAGAGATCCCAAAGGCAATGCAACAAACTTACCACTATCTACCAGATAACTTCAGGCAATGGAGATACAAACAAATAAATCATGGATCTTATCCTAGAAGTATTCACATGCACAGTTCTAACAGTAACACAAAAATGTGACAAATGATTTAATAAAGGTAGATACAAAGTACTATAGAAACATAATGGAAAGTCAGTAATCTTGTGGGAGATAGGGGGTGGAGGAAGGCTTCACAGAGGATGTTATATTTGATCTGGACTCAAATGACAAACGAGTTCCCAAGAAGACTGGGGAGCTTTCCAGGCAAATAAAGCCTGAGCCCAGGCAGAGGCTTGAACATGCAGAGCACAGCAGGTTCAGAGATATCCCAGTTGTCTGGAGTGTAGAGTATAAAGAATGCGTTGGGGAGGAGTTGGGGAAGAAAGGGGCTGAAAGCTAGGCTGGGACCAGGCTGGTAGGTAAGAAAAAGAAGCAGAGGGGCTGGCCCCGTGGCTTAACGGTTAAGTGCGTGCACTCCGCTGCTGGCGGCCCAGGTTTGGATCCCGGGCGCACACCGATGTACTGCTTGTCCGGCCATGCTGATGCCGCGTCCCACATGCAGCAACTATAGGGATGTGCAGCTATGACATGCAACTATCTACTGGGGCCTTGGGGGAAAAAAATTAAATTAAAAAAAATTTAAAAAAAAAGAAAAAGAAAAAGAAGCAGAGATGACTGCAGCTTCAGGGGAAGGTTTAAGAAGGGAGAAAGGTTGATTTGGGTTTTGCTTTGGATGGAGAAGTATTCAACATTTTGTGAGAAAAAGTTAGTACAAGTACATGCCTCCACGTTTATTACCTCAGTGGATCCTCACAACACAACTGAGGGTAGGCAGGGCAGGTACAATTCTTTCCATTTTATAGTCCCAGATGAGTTAAGTGACTTACTACACAGGACAAACTATTAAACAGCATAGATCACCTAGCTCTTCCCAGGGCTCTTTCTAACATACCATGAAGTCTCTCCGATCACACTCAAAAACATTCCAAAAAAGTCCATAGTCCAAAGTGAAAGGCCATAGTGTTGTCGTGTGAGGAGGCAGAATGAACACAGGCTTTTTAAAGAAGCAACTGAGCTTCCAAACAAGCCAACTTAGCATCTCTGAGCTTCAGTTGCCTCATTTGCAAAAGAGATATACCACAACTTACCTGCAGAGGCGTCATGTGGCTCAAATGTAAATTTGTATGTGTGAAGCCTAACGCATGGTAGGCACTCAGAATAAATGATGTCCCCCAAATCCAAACCTGCTTTCCCTCTTACCCCTCAAAACTCAGCCAAGTAGCAATAAAGCTAAATTGGGTGCACCCACCCTTAACTGTACTGTATGAAAACCCCTTACTCCACTATTATTATTCACACCTCATACAATTTTTTTTATGGATGACCAAAGACTCATGCTCTGAAACCTTTATCTTTCAAGGAAAAGAAAAAATCGGGCTGGAGTCAACAAGCTAGAAAACTTTCAGCTGATAACATCACAGGTTAACTAAAACCTCAGAGAAAATAAGGTTATTCAGATGATGGTCAATACCACCTTCATTATTCTGAACACTAATCACTTGCTTTGGGGGACACACACTGATTTAAGTAACTAATTTCCCTGCCACTAGGAGGGGCTGGGATTGGCACCACCAAAAACATGCTTTCATGAAAGGACACTCTTCTACAGAACACTCCCAACTTCTACCACCAACAGAACCCTGAGCCTTACTCGGACAAGAAAATTAGAATCCTTTCCACTTTCCAGACTTTCCATCTCCCCTTCATACACACTGATAAGTGTTGGAGACCCCATTGAGCATCCCAGGGATGGTGCTGAAACCCACATAAGGGTAAGTTGGCTCATTTACAAGCCCAATTGCTCAGTCTCCCAAACTGTCAAGGCAGTCTACAGGAAACGGTTGCAAATTCATTTTATTTATAAAGGTCAGTTACAGACAGCAAGACACTGAGGAGAAAAAGCAGCATGGTGTCAACGAAAGCAGCACTGGGGTCAGAAAGATGCGGAGGGTCTAGTTCTAACCCTGCCCCTAGCTGGCTGGGTGACACTTGGCAAGTCCCTTTTCCCTCTCTAGGCCTCGCTTCCCCACCTAATAAAATGAGGTAATGGGACCAGAGCCTCTTCACTATACAACCCGTGGTCAATGGACCAGCAATATTAGTATCACCTGGGAGCTTGTTAGCACTTTAAAATCTCAGGTCTCAAGGTAGGCCTACCAAATCAGCAAGTGCAAATTAACAATATCCCCAGGTGATTTGTATGAACTTAAAAGTTTAAGAAGCACTCACTGTTCTAAGATCCCTTCGACCTCTGACATTCTAGGATTCTAAGTGGACCATAGCAGAGAGCAGTGGGAAAGCCATAGCTGAAGGGGTTGGAGGTGGGGATGGAAGAGAGCCAGTGGAGATAAAAGGGATAACAAAGGAGAGGGACACATGTTTCCATCCTCCTTCATATCCTTCAACCTGTAGTTCAAAAGACATCCCTCAAGTCGCATTCTGACTTAAATACGTCTTGTGGATGAAACTGACCCTGCAAACTTTCACTTGTGAAAAGACGTTTTGTAAATGTACTCTGATTCAGGCATGTGTACTGGTCGCTCCAACTTAAAGCCAGGACCCAGTCTTTGCCATCTTACCCTCTAATACACACCCCCCGCCCAAGTTCGTACAGGGCTCACTCCGCAGACTTCTGACCCACAGCAGAACGAAACAAAGGTTTCGTGGCAGGGACGCCGTGCATCCCCGCAAGAGAAGGCAGCGTGTAACAAGCGGCTGGAGCGACGCTTGGGGACCGACCCGCGTGCGACAGAGCCAGACATTTGTGCGGGCAGTACAAGCCCAGATGCGCCTACCTCACATCGAGATTGAGAGCAGAACACGCAAGACCATGGACGCACTTCTAGACCAGGAGAGGCCCGGGAAATAAATGGAGCTCCGTGTCGTAGTGACCGGTGTCCGTCTCAATCCGGCCTGTGCTCCCTCCAATCGGCCCAGTAGCGAATTTTGAAAATTACAGCCCCAACAGGAAGCACAGTGGTGATTGGCCAGCAGGAGCCAATCAGCGTGCGCAGTTGCGACGTGCGCTGCCTAGCAAGGAGGGGCGGGCCTGGGTGTTTTTAAATTGAACTCTGTGGCTAATAGCCTGCGCATTGGGCGTGGTGTCGAGTACAATTGGTTGGCTCAGGCTGGGCTGACAAGCGGCAGTACTGGGTCTCTTTAAAGATGAGTTTTCATTTAAATAATCTTGCTGGAGGAGGAGGGAGAGAGGCTGTATAATATAAATTATAATATTAATATTAATAACCCTTTGTAGAGTCAAACGTTAATTCCTGTGGCTTCACAAATGGCTTTGTGAGGGAAGCAGAGCAGAAATTATTGCCCCTATTTTATGGATAAGCACCTGAATGCTGACAGCTAATAGTAGCTAATATTAATTCAGCACTAGTTCTGTGCTATAAATTTTTTATTGTTTTAAATCCTGTCCAAAAAGATAGGTAATTTTATTATTGCCATTTTACAGAGAGAAAAATTATAGCTTGCTAGCTGCCCAATATCACAAAGCTGGATTGTGACAAAGCAGGCACTACAACCCAGATATTCTCATTCAACAAATATTTATTGAGCACCTGCTTTGTTCCAGGAAATAGAAAAAATATATATGCGTAATTGACAAAAAACTTGAAGAATTTATAGCCCTGCCCTGTGCTCTGAGGAGGCAAAGAGAAAATGGAGATGCTAGGAGTAAAATCTAGGACTTCTTGCATATACAGCAGATACTCTACCACTAAACTACATCCCTACCTTTATTATTAGCCTATTCTCCTTTTAGTATCTCATAGCTTCTACATTAAAGATAAACTATTCACATGATTCCAGGCCCTTTTCTCTTTTTGATCTCCCTAGGTAATTTCATCCAGACCCATGACTTTAAATATCATCTAAAAGCTGGCCCTGAACTCCAGATTCATAAATCCAACTGACTACTCCACATCTCCACTTGGATGTCTAATAGGCACCTCAAACTCAACATGTTCACAACCCTCACCAAACCTGATCCTTCCTCCAATGTCCCCCATTTCAGAAATTGGTACTACCTCAAGCCTGTTAGCCAGCCCCAGTGGTCTAGTGGTTAAGAGTCTGCCTGTCATCGCCATGACCCAGGGTCATTTCCTGGGCATGGAACCACACCACCCATCTGTCTGTTGCCATACTGTCACAGCTGCATGTTGCTGTGATGCTGAAAGCTATGCCACCGGTATTTCAAATACCAGTAGGGTCACCCATGGTGGACAGGTTTCAGCAGAGCTCCCAGACTAAGACAGACTAGGAAGACGTGGACACCCACTTCTGAAAAAATTATCCATGAAAACCCTATGAACAGCAGTGGAGCATTGTCTGATTGAGCCCCGGAAGATGGGAGGATGGCACAAAAAGACCAAGCAGGGTTCCACCCTGCTGTACACGTGGTTACTAGGAGTCAGAATCGATTCAATGGCACTAACAAGCCTGTTACTCAAGCCAGAAACCTGGGTATTATCCTTGATTCAAACACTTTTCCATCACCTTACCCTCCCATATCCTATTGATTCTACCTCAAAAATATATCCATCCACTTTTCTCTATCTCCACTGCCACCATAGTCTCTCATTTGAACCACTGTCAAGAGCCTCCAAGCTGCTCTCCCTCTATCTGATCTTGCCCTTCTCTAATGCAAATACAACACAACAAGATCAATCTTTTTTGATCTTGAAAAATTATATCACGTCCCTCTCCTGCTTTAGTGGTTTACCACAAAACTTAAAATAAAATCCAAACTCCTTACTCTGGTCTGCAAGTCCTGCCTATGTCATCAACCTCGTCTCATAATGTCACCGACTAGTGTCCTGAGGAACTCAAGGGTGGGTTTGGAAGCATTTAACTGTTTTTCCAAGTTGCTTTTTATGTTAAGGAGACACAACCAGCAACCACCCTGAAGCTAACCAAGCTTTCCTACAAGAGCTACGCCCATGACTTTGCCTTATTTTTAATGTGAAGATCTCTTCAGGAGGCGATTAAGCCTCATTACCATAATCTGCAGTGTACCTGCCTCTCCTTTTTGAATATTCATTCCCCAACTGAAATAAAAGTTCCTGCTTCCCTTTGTTAGGGGACACCATGACTTTGGAAATGATTCCTCATAGCCTCCTATTTGCTGCAAATACACTTTACTGTGTGAGACAACTTCCACTGGTGTAGAGTCTCATTTAACTCACCAGGAGGTGAGCCCACATGGTTCAGTATCAATAACACTCTCTCTAATTCACTCCATTCCAGCCATAATGGTCTTCTTTTGAAGCTTTGAATATATCAAAATCCCTCTCCTCAGGAACTTTGCACATGGTGTTCCTGCTGTCTGGAACATTCTTCCCTCTTTACTTGTTTCTTTCCTTGTTTTTTTTTTCTCATGCTTCAAGTCTCAGCTTTAAATGTCTCCTCTTCAGAGAGGCCTTCCCTGACCATGTTATCTAAAGTAGGATTCTCCTCCCACTCCCTTATACTCTACCTCAGCCCATTACATTTCTTTTAGAGTAATTATTGCTACTTGTAATTTTGTAACCTACCTCCTCACTTAAGAATGCAAGGTCCTGGGCCGGCCCCGTAGAGTAGCAGTTAAGCATGCACGCTCCGCTGCTGGTGGCCTGGGTTTGGATCCCAGGTGCGCATCAATGCACTGCTTGTCAGGCCATGCTGTGGCGGCATCCCATATAAAGTGGAGGAATATGGGCACGGATGTTAGCCCAGGGCCAGTCTTCCTCAGCAAATAAAGAGGAGGATTAGCATGGATGTTAGCTCAGGGCTGATCTTCCTCACACACAAAAAAAGAATGCCAAGTCCATAACTACAAGGACCATATCTACTGTGCTCTATCTCCAATGATTAGCATTAATAATAGTTCACATTTATCAATTGCTTACTGTATGTTTGACACTGTTCTGACCCTCACGACAATATAATGAGGTGCTAATATTCTCATTTTGCAGAAGAGGATCTTGAAGCACAGGGAAGTTTAGTAATTTGCCCTAGATCACACAGCTAGTAAGTTATCAGACTGGGCTTTAAACCCAAGCAGTCTGATTCCAAAGACCAAACACATAAGCATTAGCCCATACCTGCCTCCTTGACAGATGATTGAAAAATATTTAACTAAGTAAATGAGTATCTTCCTTTAACATCATCACTGTGGAAAAGTGTCCCACTGGGATGCTCTATAAAGGAAATATAGTATTAACATAAGTCACTATAAGTCTTCTTTAGTCAAGAGAGGAAAAGGTCTATCCACCAAACCAACGGCAACACAAAAATCACAAAACAAGCAATTTCATTTTTCCTATTTCTTCCAAGCTTTTCACAAAAACAAAAAAGTTATTGGGTAAAGGTATGATATTTTCCAAAAATTTTTAAATTTGTTTTTTTCTCAACCTTCACAACTCCAGGTGACTTAATCTTTTTTTTTTTTTCTTGTGAGGAAGATCAGTCCTGAGCTAACATCCATGCTAATCCTCCTCTTTTTGCTGAGGAAAACCGGCTCTGAGCTAACATCTATTGCCAATCCTCCTCCTTTTTTTCCCCCAAAGCCTCAGTAGATAGTTGTATGTCATAGTTGCACATCCTTCTAGTTGCTGTATGTGGGACACGGCCTCAGCACAGCCGGACAAGCAGTACGTCGGTGCACGCCCAGATCCGAAACTGGGCGGCCAGTAGCGGAGCATGCACACTTAACCGCTAAGCCACGGGGCCGGCCCGTGGTGACTTAATCTTTCCTTTGGGTAGCACTTAGAGAGAACACTGAGAAAATAGGAGACAGCCCTTTGTCTCTACCATCTTCCAATATTTCACTCCTCCCAGGCATACATTCTCATAAACTCTCCTTTCTCATTCCCTCTATATCCCTGTATTAAAACCTAATAGAAACCTAGCCCTGATGGCCTAGTGGTTAAAGTTCAGCACGTTCCACTTCAGTGGCCCGGGTTTGGTTCCCGGGCACAGAACCACACCACTCATCTGTCAGTAGCCATGTGGTGGTGGTGGCTCACATAGAGAACTAGAGAGACTTACGACTAGAATATACAACTAGGTACTGGGGCTTTAGGGAGGAAAAAAAGGAGGAAGATTGGCAACATACGTTAGCTCAGGGCGAATCTTTAACACAAAAACCTAATAGAAAAGACCTGCTATTATCTACCTCATATTTACATGAAAATATATTTCAGATAGATCCAAGATTTAATTGAGAAATTGAAACCAAGGAAATACTATATAAAATATAAAAGAATATTTTTATAATATTGCAGATGGAAAAACCCAAAAAGGATACAAAACATCTAGAGACAGCAAAAGACTCAATAAATTTTAGTAGCTAAAAATTTAAAATTTCTTTTTGGCAAAACAAACAAACAAAAACAAGGTTAAAAAAATCTAACAACAAACTGGCAAAAAACATTGGCAACACAAATGACAAAACAATAATTTCCAAAATGTACAAAGAGAACTTCATGACCAACAAGAAAAAGATGAACCACCCCTTAAAAAATTGGCAAGAAAATGAACAATTAGAAAAGAAATACAAGTGGTAAATAAACATGAAAATATGCTCAATTTCACTAAAAATAAATGCAGATTAAAACAGCAATGCATTGTTTTTGTTTAAGACTTTGGCAAAGGTTTAATAGATTAATAATAACTTCTGTTGGTAAAGGGGTGGGTAAACAGGCACTTTTATTCACTGTCAACAGGAGTAAAAACTGCCATAAACTTTGGGAGGATTATTTGAAAACACCTATTGAATTCTTTTTATTTTTTATTTTTTTTTGTGAGGAAGATCAGCCTTGAGCTAACATCCAATGCCAATTCTTCTCTTTTTTTGCTGAGGAAGATTGGCCTTGAGCTAACATCCGTGCACATCTTCCTCTACTTTATATGGGATGCTGCCACAGC